CAACAAGAAGTAGGCGGGAATGAAGCGCTTCCTCCTCCTCAATGGTGGCAGCATGAGTTGTTGGATGGTAGAATAGGATATCAAGATGACACACTCGCAATGTCTTCATGGAACCGACCATTACCAGGGGTGCGAATAGTGAGCGAAGAATATGCCACTAGCAACCGAAGAACTCATGTTGAAATATAGATAATCCCGGACAACTCGTTCCCGGATGCGAATGGCACATCTCACCACTTGGTCGGTCTTACTTCATCAATCACAATACCAGGACCACATCATGGAAGAAACCAACACCAGAACATCCACCAGGGAGCTTGACGCCGGAGTGCATCATCGAGGGTCATTCCAAAATCATTTACAACCTTACCTGGTTGGGCACCAGTTGCAATATCCTGAGTGCATCAGGCGATGTTCAATTTGTCGGTGGACAAGAGATGGAGAACCAGTGGGAGGCCCTTGAATAGTGACGGAGGACTGGTAGGCCCAATGGCAATCTCCTCCATATGAATCAATTATTGTGAGTGGAAGCTTAGATGGCAGGCTACGACTGTGGAACATCAGCAAGGGCAGCATGGTCGGTGACCCATGGGAGGGGGCATGGCGGTCCAGTGAGGTGCATTGATTGGTCTCCCAATGCCCGGGAGATAGCAAGTGGGTCGGAAGACGGCACCATACAACGCTGGAACCTGGATACTGGCCGACAAATACACCACCCATAGCGACTGGCCAAGGGAGGGTTTGAGCTGTTCAGATACTCTCCACAAGGGGACAGAGTTCACGAGCGGTGGGGAGGACAAGGTGATCTGTGTGTGGTCAAAGGACGGCGAGCTGCTTATGGAGATCAAGGGCCATGACAGCAATGTGATGTCATTGTGTTGGTCCAAGGATGGCGCACACATTTTCCTCCGCGTCAGGCGATTGCACCATCCGAAAATGGTGGTCGATTGATGGGAAGGAGCTCGTTGTTTTTCGGGGTCATGCCAATTCCGTCAACTCCCTCTGTCTATCCCTTGATGAAAGCCATCTTGTTAGCACATCAATGACTACTCAGTTCGCATCTGGGACCTCACGACGAATCAACCTGTTGGAGACCCACTCTTGCACGATGATGAAGTCAAGGCTGTTGTCATTTCCCCTGATGGAAACATATTCGTCAGTGGTGGATTGGATGGAAAGATACATGTATGGAGCCTGGATGCAGCACTCAAACATGCGGGTGATGATCATGTGAGTAGTGTTTATTCATTGTCAGTGTCTTTTCTAAGTGGGTTTGGTTACGTTCAGAGTGCAAATGATAGTAATGCAAAACCCGATGCAAAGCTCAAGGTAAGTCAGTCGTGTTTCTCTTCTTATGATATCTTACTTCTTTACCAGGGACGTCCAGTTCGACCGAGAGATACCGTGCGCCATCAACTTGTGAACACCTTGATACATTTGCTTATTCGCTTGTTAGATCTTGCACGCTAGTAAGGTCTCCAGGCAGCAGCCAAACAGACTCGGAGGCTTGACGAAATATGTCAGTATAATCTCTCGTTTCTCGGCTCTTGCAAATCTAACAGTTGTATAGGGCAATGACTTCTGGGACGCTGATACCAACACCATGCCTCGTCCCGCAACTTCTCCTGCTAGTCCATCATTTGGCCTTCGTTGGCGTCAATTTGCTCGGGTTCGCTGCGTTTCAACGATCGACATCCAAACGCGCCACAATCAATACCACTGCAGCCCCGACAGTGGGATTTCAACTTATTTTCAGGAGGAAGGTCTATACGCACCGTTGAAGTACCTGCCGGTCGCAAGAAAAATGTGAGTCGTCACTGCTCCTTTTTGATATCGAAATCAATATATTTGCAGAGAATATACGTTTCCCCTCCCCCCGCAGCAGAAGTGGCCCGCGCAGAAGCGGCTGCAGCTGTGCAACGTACCAATGGCAACCAGGCTGGTAGTTCAACGCAAGCAGGTCAACCTCAGGCTGTGCCGGAGACACATGCGTCTGAAGGACGTCCAACGGAAACACAAGGCGCAGGTGGTGGGACGGGAGATGTTTCTTATGAAGTTAGCTGCTGCGGATTTCGTTATCGTTCCACCTCCCATCAGTCATGAGGTTATATACTAAACTCTCTGTTGCTCGATAATTTTCCCTATTCCTGTAATGATTTGATGTTTTCAATGTACAACGAAGCCGTCCTGTCTTCGATCTAGTTTCAAAACTGACTTCATTTGCCTTCAATAAGCGTTCCAAAGGGTGTCGTTGCGTGGTCGTCCGCATAGCTGTTAAGAATGTTATCCTTGTAGAAAACACGGCCCCTTCGTTACCATAGGATGTGAAGTCTTGACGCACAGAATCACATCGTTCAATTTTTCGTGACGAGTGAGAACCAGAGAATCCTGTACCCAAGCTCGACACAGATTCTAACTCGAGAGCATTGCATTTCGCCTTGGACAGCCTTTGGATGCATTTTTGCTAACGCGGCGGCGCAATGGCGAATTCAAGGGGATAGCGATATCATTGCACAAGTTAAAGACATGACTTCTGCTGGCAACATGATGGATATCAGGACAATAGAGGTGCTGTAGCTGTATGGAGTCTTCTAAAGATTTACCAGTGATTTTCGGTTGTACCTTGATGATCAAACTTATGTATTATCACATACTGACTTGAAAGCAGACTTTAACTTGGAGACCAACATGGTGATTCTCCGCGTAGGAAATAGAAGTGGTGAAGGATGGGACAAGGCAGGCGTAGTGTCCTCACCAGATGGAACAACTTGTACTGGTTCCAAACCTGCATTAAAAGCATCAGAAGGAGTCGATGCACCAGGTGCGAAGTGCCCCTCCGCAGTTAATGACTATGTTGCACAGGTACTTGGGTTACATTATTTTGACGAAGATGGATTTGGTAGGGATTGGCGAATGAGAAAACCGAAACCAGTTGGGTCGGGAGTTGAGGATGAGATGAGCCGAGCACTGGAAGCAAGGCTGTGAGAAGATCATAAGTGTTGGATGAAATGAGCCTTGGAAGTGGAAACGCCCCCACCGCAGAGTTAGTAGCGGTTTGAGACGCGAGGATAGAGAACTTTGGCTGCATGCAGAACACAGAATTTGAGAGTCGATGCGATGGATTACACTAAGCTATACGCATGCGTTCGAAGGAGTGACATAGTGATGTGCCGGAGTAGCTGCTCGACACGAAAAATTCATGCACTCATGCAGGATAGATAGTTGGATTCTGAGGGCCGGGAAGCATTGGATGTGGTGAGATACATTCTGGAAGATGTGGAGACAAGAGTCGGACGCATGTATGCACGGCAGAAGCGTTGGGAGGGTATACTGTCGAGGACGACGGGTATGACAATAAGGTAGATTTTTGCTGCAATGGTGATGGATGTGTGGAAACGAACAGCCCCGTGTCCTGGGCATCTATGGAAATGAGGCAGGTTAGCGCAGCGAAGCAGCGTAAACGACACGGTACGCGCACCTCTGCAGCTTAGAGAAAGATACACACAATCACTCCAAAGTCCACCTCGACCGTGCTCAACGCCATCAACCTCCAGTAAAATGTCGAGACTCATTCCAAGCACCCGGGCCAGTAGCCACACCCTCGCGAGAGTACAAAGGTCATGAAAAAGGCATATGGGCCATCACAGTTTTGCCCGACACACGACAGATGGTTGCAGCATCGAAGAACAAGACGCTGTGTGGGAGTTGAAGACAGGTGTTGTGTTGAAGAAGATGGAGGAGCATAGCAGCTGTATTGGTGGCATCACAAGATGGGCAATTTATAACAAGCACTGATCAGGTCATCGCCTAGCACGGAGAAGCTGGGGAATCACTCACCCAACCTGTCAAAGCTCACTCCAGACACATCTACTCGCTGGACTTTTCTCCTGATGGAAAAGTGGTGGCAAGGGTTCGACATGATGAAGCCGTGGAACACTAAAACCTTGGAGCTATTAGTACAAGGAAATCCAATCGAATGTGGTAGTTGTGTCAAAATTTCGAGGCTCGAGTGGGAAGGATAGGAGTTTTTTTTAAATGAAGGAGTCGAGGCACCTGCTGGGAAATAGACGAATTATTGAAATTAGGTGTTGCTGATTTTCCTTGGTCGTCATCGTCCCGCCGGCATCAGTCTTGAGGCCCAGTGAAAATCGACAAGTTAGAGGTAGATATGTAACGATAGACATGGAAAAAAAAATCAGGACATCAATTCTATCGACCCATTTCGAGGTATATCCCTAAATTGTGACTTTTCGAGACACAAAAAGATAGAGATCGAGACGAGTTTTTAACGTTTAGATAGGATTCTCGATGGCATTAGATCTTTAGATAGACATTTACATGCACATTATCACTCGATTTGGCTTGAAAAACATATTGATATAGAACTAATGCGAACAAATGAGGCTATCTATGGGTATCGCTTGGCTTAGGGTGGTATCGCCATCATTCGGTGTAGTATCGCTGCTTGCTGCGCCTCGCCCGCCCGCCATCCCGCCATCCACTACTCCTCATCTGCGCCCGCATCATCGCCAGTAGTACTGACTCCACTGGCAGCTGATTTGAGCTATAGAACAGGGCCATTAGTGTAGTATGATGAAATAGAATATAGTGGGTAGCGCTCACCTGAACAGCTGCCTTGCACTTGTATATCTACAATAGTAAACGGTATTAGATAGATATCAATATAACAAAAGAAGACGCACCTCTTTGTCGGCTTTAGATAGCCCATTCCAGTAAGATGCGAAAACAGTCGCTGGTTCCTTTTGATGACTGTTTGATTGCCAGTCGAGAGCACACAGGTGTCTTTTTTTTTTTTTTGGACAAGCGAGTTTATTATGTAGCCACTGACACTGTCTAGTTCTACATAAACGCTTATAGCAGTGCCTAAACTAGGTACCGGTCTGAGGGAAAATGCTCTTACACACTCCCTACCTTTTGGTAGGGGTGTGTGGGACTCTGTGAACTTCCTAGGTTGCCTCGGTCTGCGGGGGCCGGGGAAGCTTAATACCCACTAAAACCTTGAGTGATGTTGCCCAGTTGTGGGGGAGATGGTTTTCTTGCGATATTATTTTTTCCCATGTTGATTGGATTAGGTTCGTGAATTTTGTGTTCCTTTTTGTTTTGCTGGCTAGCATTCTGTCTAGTTGTAGTCTGTTGTCAATTGTTTTAGTCCATCTTCTCATTATTTGTTTGTCAGTTTGGGTCACGCCTTGTATGACGCATTCGCATCTGAGGACCCATATTAGGTAAGCTGATTCGGAGATGAGAATTCTCAACAGTCTGGATAGTCCTTTTGTGGTTCCAGTTCTTCTCCTTTCATCGTCGTTGATTTCATCTGGTATTTGTGGGATGTTTATCATTCCGCTGAAGGATCTTCAACTCAGCTGAGGGTGCAGCTGATATAATTGTTGAAGGGAGGAAAATATGAGTGCGATATGTTCGTCCCTTAGGGGAAGCGGAGAAAGCAAATATCCACTGGTCAACTCTAGGGGGAATGCGCAAAGCGCGTGATCAGGCGAAAGCGCGGGAACAAGGCGCTATAGGCGCGCGAAGCGCGGGAAAGTTGCGCGTCGAAAAGCGGAACTGGGTGACAGCGGTATGCGAGCGATAGTGAGATGTTAAGACGTGTACTGAGATGCTGATAAGACAACTGATGCGGATATGGCCACTAGAGCTAACTGCTACTAGGGCTTGCGATGATTTATTCAAAAACATAATAAAAACTTGGAGATGGTGACTGTCTATGATGATGGTCATCCGTGGTAATGTGTGTTGTGTTCCGTAAAAAATGTGTAATGAAAAATGTGTACCAAGTGAAAATAAACATGGTACGATATTGAAATAAATGATAAATGGAGAAATGCATACCTGGGAACTTGGTTGGACATGGGAAAACACAGTGGGAAGTCAGGCGCCCTATAGCGCTTAGGCACGGGAAAATTCGCCTAAAGCGCGCGGAAGTCGCGCAAGTGTCACCTATGTCGCGGAAGTGTCGCCTAAGTCACGCGCGTCGCGCGAACGTTGCGTTTATCGCGCTAGTGTCGCGTTGCATGCATAGTATTGTAGACTCGACCTACAGTGCAATATATGCCATTGTGAGGCTACTCAGGATCGAGTCTCTACACCGCATCCTAGGATCGTTCCTATTGATATGTTTGGCCATGGGGTGATGTTTTGTGGCCATATTTGGCTTGCTAGGCGCCATATAGTTGTCAGAGGGGAGTGGTTGCAGTCCGTAAGTATGTGTTCTAATGATTCTGTGTCTTCCCTGCAGGTTGGGCAGCGGCTCCTATGTTCAAGGTTTGGGATGTTGGTCCAGAACTCCCCAATTTTTAGTAAGTCATGTAGCGCTCGGTATGTAAAGATCTGAAATTTCTTGATAGGTCTTTGTTCTTTCTGCTTGTCCATATGGTGCCGTCCGTTTCTAGGCTATTTGATATGCTCTCAATGGCGTGTCGGGCTTGGTCGAGGAGGCCAAGCGTCAAGCGTTGTATTCGGCATCCGATGTCGATATTATTTGTTTATATGCGGATGCTTGTGTTAACTTGGTTAGTTTCGTGCCTTTAAGGTCGAAGTTTGGTGGGATTGATGTGTCTAGTTGGTTGAGTGTATCTTTCCTGGCTCCTTATCCAGTGAGTTTATCTGCTTCTTCATTTCCTTTCATGCTGTTATGTCCTTTTATCCATCTGAAGGTCGTCGTTGCTGATCTTTTTCTCAGGTGGTATGCAGTGGCTTTGAAGATTTCGCTATTTTTTACGTTTATCCAGCCTCGGTCTTCCCATTCTTTAAGGTGGCATGTCAGGCCTTCTATTGCATATTGTGAGTCGGTTATGATTGTTACTGGGGTTAGTGGGTTGATGTCCTGTAGTCCTATTAGGATGGCCGCTATTTCTCCTGCTTGGTTAGATTGCGTTTTCCCAGAGATTCTTACGGATTTGTTATTTGGGTGGTTCTCTCCGATCCATATTCCACTTCCACATCTTGCGTTTTCTTTTCTGTTATTGATGCAGGAGCCGTCTGTGTATATTTCAGTTGGTGGTGTCTGTATGCCCCTCCCTTGTCTCGGTCTTTGAAGGTGGTGAGCTGGTATTTGTTGGGTTTTGTTGCTGTCGCTAAAGATCCTAAAACATTCTGCTAGGTCCGTTTTTTCGGTGACTGATGGGTCGAATATTATATCTCCTCTGCGTTGGGTCAGGGCCCTTGAGTTTTTTTCTCGTCGGTGGTGTGTTAGTGTGAGGTCGTCACTTGGCGGGGTGTTGAGAGGGCTGAATATTGGGGTGAGTTTTGTTAGTATTGATGACGCTGCTAGCATGCATTTTTGTGGGTTTTTGCACCCTGCTAATTGATCATCTATGCATAGGGTGCAGGTACAGTTACCTTTTGCTTGGTGATGTTTTTTGTTAAGCGGTCTACCGTTTAGTTTCATGAGGTCCTTTACTGATCTTATTCCGTGGTTGTGTTGCATGCATGAGTCTCTCAGTTTTTTGTATGTTTTTGGCGGTGCACCAAGATGCAGCCATGCTGGGAGTTGTTTTTTGAGTGGTTGTGATAATTTTACCGGTGCGAAGCTCATGTTATATAATTTTGCTGTTTTTAACATGGTAGTTATCTCTTTTGGTAGCCGGTTTGTGCGTGGACCTCGTGTTGGTGGGGACCATGATGTGAGGATGGCTGTTATATTGTTCATGTCTTTTATCCCTTCCAGTCTTAGGGTGTTGATTAATGCGTCGGTGACGTATGCCCACGCAGGGCGGTTAGGTGAGATATTTACATAGGCTTCAAACCGTGTTAGACTGATTGCTTTATTTCTTGTCGCTATGTCTAGTATCTCTAGGCCCCCTTTCGTTTTTTGGTCTTTGGAGGCGTTTCAAACTTATCGGTGTGGATTTTGCTTTGTCCCATATGAATCTTAGTTTTATGATTTAGTGATTGCAGATTCGATTTGTTTTGGCATGCCTTGAGCTTTTGTAAGGAATTGCGTCATTCCTCCCACAAACATTTGTATTATTAGATGTTTCTTGTCTAGTGTTGGGCGACCTTTGTTCCATTGTTGGAGGGGTAGCTTCTATCTTATCCAGTATTGGTTCCCAAGGTTCTGCATCTTCTAATTCGTTTCCTATCCATGCCTTCCTAGTGACCTACAGGTGTTCCGTCTTGTGTTTCTTATGGCGTGTCCCAGGGATTGTCCTCCTGTTTAGCTTTCTGGATTCTATTGTTTTTGTTCTATGTTGTTTAGTTCCGATCGGTAGATTTCGGTTTTTCTAGGTTGAACTTGGCGCCTGATGCTATGCACCAGGTTTTTAAGATGTCTTGGAGGTCCTTGTATTTGTCTCCTTTCTTAGGTATACGGTGGTGTCATCTGCATATAGGTTGACTATTATTCTTGTGTGCGAGGCCAGGTATGTTGTAGCCTTGTAGTTTCATTGAGTTTCGTAGGGTGCATGCTAACGGTTCTATTGCTAGGTCGAAGAGTAGGCAGGACAGGGGGGTCCCCTTGTCTAACTCCTCTTGTTACTTGAATGGCTCGCTCATGAATCCGTTTATAGCTACCTTCGTATGTGCGTTTTCATATAGTGTTCGGACCGATTTGATAAATCTTTCTGGTAAGTTGAATTTCATTAGTGTATCTATTAGGTAGTCATGGCTTATTTTGGTCGTAGGCTTTCTCTTGGTCTAGAGCAACAATCACACCGTCCTCCTCCATGACGTCTGCATACGCCGTCATCATTTGTGATAGTCGGATCGGGTCAAAGATTGATCTCTGTGGTATAAATCCACTTTGATCTGGGTGAATCATGTTCTTTATTACTTTTGCGAGTTGCATTGCTAGTGTTTTGGTGAGTAGTTGTAGTCTGTATTTAATAGTGTGATTGGTCGGTAATTTCTATTTCAGATTTGTCCTTTTTATATAGGGGGCACATCCAGCCTAGTGCGAAGTTTGATTCTTTGATGTTCCATGTTTTTGTATATCGTTTAGGACTATAGTGAGTGTTTTTATGACATCAAAGCCTGGTTTGTCGGTGTCTTGTCTTTTTGTTCGTTTCATATAGTATCTTCCATGCTTCATACGGGATTCCGTCTATGCCGGTTGCGCTTCCTGCTTTTGACGAGTACAGCGCTTCTTTTACACTGGATTCTAGGATGGTTCATTCAAGGGGCAAGAAGGTGCGTTTAATTTCTGTTCTTCCGGGATTTCATTGAGGGTTTCTCTTATTGCTTCGCTCCTTCGTCTGTTTTCTTCCAGGTGGGTGTGTATTTTTTGCAGGTTCTCGTGGTAGGTCTTTGCTATTTTGGCCATTTCCTTTGACTTATGTGTGAGTCTGTTCGTTTGTGGGTTTCATAGTCGGTGTATGATGTCTGTTGGTTTTTTTGGATTGTTACCTTTGTCCAATATTTACTGATTGTTTCGCCTTAAGGGACCATTGCGCTTGCGCTTTCAGTGTGCGCTTTTCTGTCTCTTTCTCTCAAGGTGTTCGATTTCCTTTCTAGA